ATGTCAGCCCAACTACTGTTCAGAAACAGGTGAGCGAGTTTCTCGCTAAACTTTCGAATGTATTAAGACATGTACGTGACGCAATGGCTGATAACCAGCACAAACAAATGGAACAAGCTGATGACAAAGGAAGAAAGTGCATTGAGAGTTATGAAAGTGGAATAACTAGTCTTACTTAACGCTAAGAATCTAATTACCAAGTTGGTGTCAGCGGTCTGTAGGCCCAAGTTGCGTCCTCGCTTCATTGGGCTGTTTACAGTTGTGGTCAAGGAAGGCCTAGCGTGTACGCTCAACCTACCACACAAGATGCAAACACACCCAGTGTTTTACGTCGGCTTGCTTAAGCCTTACCTTGATCCGTCACTGGTGGATAACGAAGAGCTGGCGCCGATAGAGTTGGCGATGCAAGAAGTCGTGGAACTCTCAAGAGAAGATCCAAATGTCCTCCAAGACGCACCACTCAGTCACGCAGACCGTGCACCTCGTGCACTAACTCGTCGACGACACGTCAAGATTTACTGACCGCCGCCTACTCTCGTTGACGAGCCAGAGGACCAACAATACCATGTTGGACGAATCCTGCAGCGACGTCGTCTCGACGGTCAGTACTAGTACTTGTTCCAGTGGAGAGGGTACCAGGAGTCAGAGAACTCATGGGAGTACGAAGTGCCAATGCATCAGAATTGTTTGTATGCCGTTGACGTTTTCGAACGTCGTCTTAAGAGTAAGTCTATTCATTTTTCTTTCCACTCGTCGGTGTGGGAGTTTAGAGGGTTGCATCTGCAGCAGGTGTGATTATGGGTGGGTCCGTATCAGCCGCATCATAGCGGGTGCGATAAAATGATGGCATTTGGACTTTGGCCTTTTGTTTTGATAAATTAAAGTGCAGCTTTCGCCCAAGCTGAACTTCAGCAAGTGAAGCGCTCTCCTGGACATTCAACAGGCTTGACAGACGGCGAGTTCGTTATTTCAAACTCGTAAAGACGACATCGTTTCCGCCTCTGTCTCATAATGGAAGATAACGACGGGTACTGTCCGCATGGCGGACACTGATGCACCTTTTTTGCAGTTTTAGCCTGCCGAGGTACTTTTGAGCGGTCATACGCTCAAACCCAAGTATCTCGCTCTGAGAGCCTCCCTCTCTACTAGTGCCGTGGCTGTGACAGCCTCGGGTCCCGTGATCAATGTTGCGAGTGACTGCCTGGAAGTCTGACGAATGCGTTCATCCACACTCGGCGGCGTAAAGCGGATACCACTGTGAGCACGCGCTGTGGCTACAAATTATACTTGACGCCTGCGGTCATCGACCGACTGAAAATATTTAGCTTGATCTTCATCATGTGTTTTGTGCAACGCATTTGACGCAGGGTCGACGGCTGCACTCTGTGCAAGGAGTAAAGGTACCTCTTGGCGTTCCACGAATGGATTAGGCGCGACGCGCGTAGTGTCACTCGCCGGTGGCATAGCTGGAGGATGGTCGTAGATACTCGACGCGGCGGTGTCACTCTCATAGTCCACCATACCCGCTTCGAGGAATTTTCAGGGTGTTGGACGAAGGCTTTGACTCAGTCATTTTGAAATGTGTTGTGAACATGATGGCCAAGGACCAGAGCTTTGGAAGACCTCAAAGCGCAGTAGAACAATTGTCAACACAATGATGTCGACAGTTTGGTGGAGAAGGATGTAACGGGGTTATATGCGGTTATTTGAACCGGTTATGTTGTGTTTCCACACCGTCTTCGTACCACGTACGTACGGTAATACCGCTCCATACAGTCTCCGTACCACGTACTTACGGTAATACCGCACCTTATCGGGTAAGGATAAGAAAGGACTTCTGTCATAGGATCGTAATGTAGAAGTCAGTCGGGAAAGGTTTTAGGGTTTTATTGTTCGTAGCTAAAGAAGAAATAAAGTTCAGTTCCCCTTTCGAATCGTTGGACACTGGTGCCTGGTCAAGGCATAGTGTGTGGTTTGGAGCATTAGCCCTTGTGAAGGCGTTTACTCTTGTTTAACTAGTAGTCTTTAATTAGTGTGTGATTCTGTGAATCTTAATCCCTTTGGATCGGGATTAAAAAGCTTGTACGCTGAAATACTGTACGTCGTTTTTGTTTCTCATAACCAAGAGACTCTTTGAGCATACGACTTCCTCTTTTAAGAAGCGCTAAGTAGCGTTGCTTAAGGAGTGTTATCGATTAACTCAGCCGGCCAAATATCTCTATTGAAGAAGGCTGCAGGGCAGCTGATCCACCTGACAACAAAACTATAAGATTAAAATTGACGAGATAGGTCGGCTTGATTTTGACAAAGAACTCCTGCCGGGAGATACTTAGATTATAGGTGAATTCAGTGGATGATACGAAGTTAGATCTATCCAAGATGATGATGTACCCCTTTCGACGACCACTGACCGAGTTAGCGAAGGTTCTTTGTAAAATGGGCGGGGTATGAAAAGCCCACATGAGTGCTTTACCCAATCTGCCATACGGTGATGTACCCTTCAGTAACTGCAAGAGTAAGAAGAGATAGATTTTTTTGCAAATGATGTAAAAGTGAAGACGAGCGATAGAAGTATAGCAACACAAGTACTCTCACGACTGGAAAGCCCAGCTTTAAAGACACTCTTTCCCACATAAGATCTCGAAGATGCGCAGACTATGGCTACATTGGCTGTGGAGGTTGGCGTCAAGAAACATCGCGATTCCACACTTATTAGGAAGACCTTTCGACTAGAAGGTTTGGCCACTTATAAAAAAGACGTGAAACGGTTTTGGTCCAGAAGTTCCAGGTAGCGCGTCGCTCCTCGGACCACCAAAAAATCATCTTACATGTTGCAGATAAAACCCGGTACGACGATTGAGTGGACAAGTCCACCCAGTCCATTATTCCCTGGAGACGACAACTCCGGGGAGTGCTCACGAAGTAGTCGTAAGGGAGCTCATCCGGACAGGAGTATGCCGGGACAAAAACGCCCATTTTTGGAATGAAGCCGTTCTAAATTTGGAGCAAGTCGAGTTAAAAAAGTTAATATTAACGAACACACAGACTAAGGTGGAGGATCGTCTCTCAAAAACGCTCTATTACAATGAATCGATGCAGCTCAATCCAGACTGTTATCGAGAAATTACGAACGGCCCAGACAGGTTGACAGGGCATTTGCTTCGAACGGACTATGGAAAAATATCGGTGGCAATTCTAGCAAGCACATTTTTGAAAATACTAATTCTTTTATTTAGTTCACCAAATCAGACGGGCTACCCTTCCGCAAAGGTGACAAGGTGGCTAATCACTTTGTATCAGAATTGTGGCCGATCCTTGGACGAGCCCACAGCACTGATCCAGCGTCAGCGCTGTCTTAGGGTCTACGCGGCTTTGTTACCATGGCGCTTGACCGCATCCTTTTTCAGGATGACTATACACTGCTAATGGTATCACCCACGCCGGCGGAAATCCCTAAAGCAATAACATCTACCGATCGCCATCAAGTGGCGGACCGGATAGCCTTAGCAACGATTTTATTAAGAGCTTCCAAGCGCTACTGAAACGGTTATAGTACGATAATTGAGTAAATTTCTCCGAGGACGAAATCCTCTAGCTCCATCCTTAAAGATTAATTCATACCACTTTGCGAGTGCGATAACTCAGCGGAAGCGACGGATTAATTTCTAATGTCACTTTTACAGACAGGCTGCAACATTACCGCCAAGGTTTTTTCCGCGAGATATTAAAAAGGTATTGACTTTCCTGTCAAGAATAGATAACAAGGGTTTGATCACAGTATACTGATGCCTATAACGGTCATTATAATGCTGGCGCATTTAACGTCGGCAAAGCACGAACCGGACCAGAAGCCGGCAAAGATTCGAGCTATTTATCTACTTGATATTCGCAAGGAGTTTGACAAGGTCTTCATAGATGATTCCGCTTCCAATGAACATGTTATCGCTGCAAGATTTGATCACATCAAATCGATGCGTGATCATTGTGTCAGGCTTGATCTGTTGGAAAAAGAAATGGGGTCACTGCCGCTTCGGTGATTTCTACTGATTCGTGCATAGTGTTGAAGACAGTTGGCGAAGCGGACGCATGCGGCTGAACCGGCTCCACAATGGCAGTGAGTGTCACGACATTTATCTCGTAGAGGATCCTCGAATAAGCAAGGCTTCAATCGCATCTTGGTTGCATTGAAGCTTGAACGTGATATGCAATGGTGCATTTTTGTGAAGCTTGTTCTTTTCCATCAGAACAATGGAAGTAAGCTGTTTTCCTTCATTATCACATCCGAAAATGACCTAGATTCTAAGTTAGAGTTATCTGTACTTATGACATTATTGCCATCTACATCAATGGATTGCTATTTTAATGGATGGATCCTCCGCCATAACAAGACTAATTGAATGGATAGATGATTGATCGATGAATGGGTGTATTATTATCGATCATTACTTGTTTAGGTATTTTAAGAGTCGCGTGATCTTTAATACATTCTCAATTTAACCTTAGACTTCGTTGATGTAACGGGGTGAATCGTTACATAACAATTTATAAGAAATTGTTAATAGAATATAACTATAAGAGTTATATTCTCAGAATATTGTCATAAGGACAAATATTCTGTAGCACTTACGAGTAGTTCCTAATTGGTTGATATAGGCCATTATATCAACCAACGAAGACGCGCCACGACAGACGCACGCAATGAGTGGTGAGCAGATAACTGATTTACACATTTGTATTCAGACATAGTTAGATGAAGATAAATAGTGATTTATTGCAGATATTAACTATACTAAATACGGTTCTACTTTTTACTTTAACCGAGTACTCGCTTCTTCTTACCGTCTTCCTCTGCACGTACGAGTGTACGTGAAGTTACGAGGCACCGCCTTATTCTGTCATCAGAATAAGTAGCTTGTACTGTCACCAGTACAAGCTTCAGGGTGACCCGTTACACCTGGTAGCACTTCGTAGTCTGTCCAAGGACCACGTTCACATCCAACATGAATATGTTGGATGATGAAGATGACCAAAGCTTTCACGCTACGCGTGACGGCTACTCCCATTTGAGCGATGTCGAATGGGATGCGGTTGAACGAATGGGTTCGACCATGGGCATCCATGCTGTTAGCGTCATGCTAGAGGCTCTCAATAGAGATGCCCAACATGCTACTATCGCCAAGTTCATTCAAAATGAACTTGACGCAGAACGCGAGAAAGTAGCCTTGCTTCACCAACAAGGTTCTCAACAAGCAGAGTTGTTGAGAGAACAGGGTGCTCTACAGTTTGAACTGTTGAGACAGCAGCAGGCTGCTGCTGGTGGGTCGATGCACTCGCGTCGACCCGAAACCTTGAAGATTGACATCTCCAAGTATAGGGGGTCGAAGAAGACTCCCTCTTGAGATGGTTCGTCGAATTGGATGACGCCATAAGGGCGCGTCGCATCGACGACGGGGATATGCAAGTTGCATTTGCCCAGTCAAATCTGGCAGGACGTGCCAAGACTTGGGCACTGGGGCTCAAGTTGCACGACCCATATGCGTTTGGGTCGTTGGAAGTCTTCAAGTCGCGGCTCAGACAAACGTTTGAACCGCCTAGAGCTGAGTTCAGAGCTCGAACCGAACTCTTGAAGCTCACGCAGGGTAAGCGTGATGTGCACGCTTACGCTCAACATATACGACATCTCACGAGTTGTATAAGTTCCAATCCGGTGGATGAACACACGTTGGTTTCGGTGTTCATGCAGGGTCTTGCGGATGGTCCCGTCAAGACTCACCTGTTCCGGCTTGAACTAGATTCACTAGAACAAGCCATTTCCATTGCGGAGCAGGAAGACTTCAGTCTGAGACAGGCTCGCGCCAGCTCGACATCATATCGTCAACCGAGACGATATGACAACGGAGGTCCAGAGCCGATGGAACTCTGTTATGTAGAGAGCGAGAAGGCTCGCTCTACAGGCTACAAGAAGTTGCAGAGATGCAACAGATGTCAAAAGACAGGACACTACGCTTACGAGTGTAGTGCCCCTCGTCCAGTGTCTCGCGACACTGGGCGTAGTGACCGTCCACCCATGAGAAAGGGGCAGGGACGAGGGTCCGCTGTTGGTGCAAAGACGCAACAACGGGATGGACCGTCAAAAAACGGACAGGACCAGTAGGTGCGGAGCACCCTACTGGTCCAGCAACGTCAAGAGAATTTGTAGGCCTCTTGATGAAGGTTTCTCCCAACACACAAACGTTGTGCGTTGCTGCTCTAGGTAATGAGGTCTCACTCATTACCTTGAAACCCGAAGTGTCGAATAAGTTGTCCCTTCGAGCTCTAGTCGATTGTGGGGCGTCCAACAATTTTGTGCGACGCCAATCGCTAGAAGATGGTCACTTCAAGTTTGTTGAATGTGACACACCTCCTTCGAGGATGACGGTACGTCTTGCGACAGGCGCATCCGTAACCGTCATGAAGCGTATAGTGAAGATCCACTATACGCTAGAAGATACCCAATATGACGATGACTTTATCGTATTGGATTTGGATGACAAATTTGATGTCATCCTTGGAATACCGTGGCTCAGAAGGTACGAACCACGGGTAAACTGGCAACATCGAACAGTAACGATGCCTGCCGCTTGTTCATCAGATGGCCATCTGATGAACGTTTTGGAGCGTCCACAAGCGTGTGGATGTACTACGAGTGAGTGTGATGGCCTCACTTGTGGTACGGTCGTTAGTACGACTGCACAAAACCTTAGTGTACCAAACGGTTACACTTCGGAGCAAAGTTCCGGCGGCTGTGAGGAAACACAGGCTGCGCCGAAGGTCCACCACTCGAATAAGTCGAGTGGACCGGGACAAAGATGTATCCCTAGCGGGGAACATCTAGAAGAGAAACAATCGATCGCTCAGGTTAAGCGAAACGATAATCCTAGATCGACTGGAGAGTCTTTCGTAGAGGATCTCGCTGTGGTTACGCAACCCCAGCTAGAGGAAGTAAAGGGATTAAGTCCCAAGATTACAAATACGGCGGAAATAAGTTCCCCGAAACCCGCGGGAATAAGTCCCCGGGAAGCCGAAGGAATAAGTCCTTCGAAGCCTGAGGGAATAAGTCTCCAGGAAATGACAGAGACATTGAACGTCATAGTCAATAACGGATCAAGTGTAGGCGCTTATACACTTGATCTGATTGCGCCTCCGAAGTTAACTTCGGAGATCACTCAGTTGCCAACGCTCGAACATAAAAGGTTCTTGCGTGATCTGCGTAGTGGCAAAGTCAAGCAGATCTGCATACTCGTCGCTGACGACGAGTGTGTAACCGACATAAGGTCAGCAACAGTGTTTACGGAGAACGAGAGAGTTCTCAGTAGTTCATCTATGGACGAGAGTGTCCTAGATGAAAAGACACGAATTGAGCGATATGACTCCCAATCATGGGAAACGCTCAAGACAAATCCTCTCTATGAAGATTTGGTTGAATTCAAGGATGTATTCCCTGAAACTGTTCCGTGCGAATTACCGAAGGATAAAGGTATTCGACACGAGGTCGAGCTTAAACCAGGCTCGAAGTACTGTGTCATGAAGCAGTGGCCACTGCCTCGTGAACAAGTACTTGCGATCGACAAGTTCTTTGCCGATCGTTTAGCTGCGGGCCATGTGAGGGAATCAACTTCCCCACATAGCTCTCCGACCTTCTGTGTGCGAAAAGCAACAGGAGGGTGGCGGATAGTGCATGCATTTAACAAGTTGAATGCTGCAACGGTACCGGCTCAGACGCCGATACCGAGGAAGGACGTAATCATTGATGGTATGTCAAAGAGTACCATCTTTTCGTCCATGGATTTGATGGATGGCTTATATCAAATCCTTATGCGAGAACGGGATATACCCTATACCGCAGTTAGCACGCCCAGCGGCATGCTCTGGGAGTGGCTATTAATGCCACAAGGGCTCAGTAATGCCCCTGCCACGTTCAACAGATGTGTATCACATCTGTTGAGACCAGTACGAGAATTCGCGCCGAGTTATTTCGATGACGTATTCATCCATAGTCGAGCTGTGGATGGAAAGTCGGACGTTGAGGTTCACAGGTACCACGTCCGACAGGTTCTTACAATCATGCGAAAGCATCAATTGTATGCAAACCTCAAGAAGTGTATATTTGCAGCAAGCGAAATACCACTTCTTGGGTGCATCGTTGGTAAGAACGGTGTACGTCCTGATCCCGAAAAGATCAAGGCGATCACCGACTGGCCTGTGCCGGTTGATGTCAAAGGTCTTCGAAAATTCCTTGGGCTAGCGGCGTATTTGCATAAGTATTCACGCAATTACGCCGAGATGACTGTGCACCTCTCTCGTTTGTTGAAAAAGAACGAGAGGTGGTTATGGAACGCTGAATGTCAGCGCTCCTTTGATGGTATCAAGCAGAGCTTGATACAATCCCCAGTCCTAGCAATAGCCGATCAGGACAGGCCATTTCATGTGGTCTGTGATGCCAGCGATTTCGCAATCGGCTGTGCATTGATGCAGTACGACCTAGAAGGCGTTGAACGCGTCGTCTGCTATCAGTCGCGTCAGCTGCAACCAGCTGAGCGGAACTATCCAGTGCATGACAAGGAACTCCTTGCCATGAAGTATGCACTCGCGAAGTTCAGAGTCTATCTATTAGGAGATAGACCCTTCATTGTTTACACTGACCATGCGTCATTACGCACGGCAGTGAACAGCCCGCACCTTTCACAACGAATGGCGCGGTGGTTGTCATTCTTTGCGGAATACAACTTTACGGTCGAGTACAAACCAGGAAGACTTAATGTCGTCGCTGATGCACTCTCACGTCGTCCCGACATTGAAACAGTCGCGAAACCCAACAGTGAGACAGTCACTGTTGCGGTTATGACGTCCTCAGTCCCATCTACAACGTTGTATGATGATGTGAGGCGGACATACGCCCAAGATGGTGAGATTGTGAAGTTTTTGACACATCTCTACCAACCATCCCGAGAATCGTTGAAACGATTGTCGCCTGCGTATCGATCTGCGTCAGATCGATACACTGCTCGTAACGGTTTACTGTGTTATACAGCCGTTTCTGGTGACACACCACGTGTTGTCATTCCAGATGATACTGATCTGCGTTTGCGGATCATGTTCGAGTATCACGCTGGTCCTATAGGAGGACATCGTGGCCGAGAGAAAACATATCTCACGGTAAGTCGAGACTTTTACTGGCCCCGCCAGTATCAGTTTGTGCGAAAGTATGTTCGCGCATGCGAAGTCTGCCAACGAGTGAAGTCAAGTCCTTCACTGCGTGCACCTTTACAGCCTCTACCGGTTCCGGCTGAGTGCTGGGAATCCATCTCAATGGATTTTGTCTTCGGTTTACCCAAAGACGCACGCGGGAATACGGGTATTCTCGTATTTGTTGACAGATTCAGCAAAATGGTACACCTTGTGGCTGTACCAGAGACAATCACCGCAAGTGGCTGTGCTTGTGTCTTTATTGACACCATCTTCCGACTTCATGGGTTGCCCCGTGAACTCGTATCAGACAGAGATCCACGATTCACTGCTGATTTCTGGCGTTCCGTGTTCAAATCACTCGGAACGCGCTTGAAGATGTCGACATCTGATCATCCAGAGTCAGATGGTCAGACGGAACGGGCCAATCGTGTCCTTGAAGAGATACTTCGAGGATACGTACACTCCTTCAAGAGTTGGAGTGACTTTTTGCCAATGGTAGAGTTTGCCATCAACAACTCGGCGCACGCGTCCACGACACATACACCGTTTTACGTGAATGGCTTGCGCCATCCGCGTGTACCCACCTTACTAGAGTGTAACTCTGGTTTAAGGGGGGGAGGGACTCGCGCGAGCAAAAACCGATTTGGTTCACGCTCATCACGCTCTGACGAAGAAGTCATTGCGTTTGATGCCGATAATCGATAACATCGATATCGAAGAAGATGATGCCAGTGAGAGTGCGGAAGCCCTCACTGAAGTAGATGATCCCAGTGAGAGTGCGGAAGCCCTCACTGAAGAACAGGTTGATGTTGCTGCAGTGCGCTCACAGCGCACTGAAGCTAACGAGTCATCAGATGAGTTCATACTGGCTCGTGAAACGGTAGTCCGTTTTGTGCAAGACTCCATCGCCGAAGCGGTGGATAAGCAACAGCAAAACGCTGACAAGAATGGAAGGGCAAACACTCTTTTATTTAATAAAGGTGACTTAGTCCTACTGTCTACGGTTAATCTACCAAAGCATGTAGTGACTAACTTGGGTAGCAGTAAACTACTACCCAAGTACATCGGCCCATTTCGTGTATTGCACCGCCTAGGCAATGCATACACGATCGAGTTACCACGTAAGATGCGAACGCATCCCACATTTTACGTTGGTCGGCTTAAGCCGTACCATCAGTACGCTGCTTCTTCCGATGAAGAATGCCCTTGCGCTCAAGCATCTCGCAGAGAGCCTTGTGCTCCCGATGGTGGGCATCAACAAGGGTCTGAAGAGCAGTTATCTCATCCCGAGACCGATCAGCAATCCACACGAGCTACCCTTAGCTCGTCACGAAGAGATGTCAGAGATCTCTCGTTCTCAAGCTGAGCAAAGGCAAACTCAGCTCGATGCTTCGAGGCAGTGTCTGCCATTTGGAGACGCCTATTCCGCTCATGTTCGAGATCGTCGCGTAACCCTTGCGTTACGCGATCAAAGAAGCTCTCGGGAACACACCGATCCACATGATCGTGTGGAGAGCGTCTTTCCTCCTCATCCACCTCCATTAGAGGACTCTCGCGGTGGCCAGCGCTATCTAGTTGAGCAGCTGTTGAACCACCGCGACGTGAACGGACGTCGGACGAGTTATCTCGTCCGGTGGCGCGGCTATCCCCCGTCCTGGGATTCTTGGGAGCCCCGCTCCCAACTGATGATCGACGTACTGGGTCTGGTTGAGCAGTACGACGCGGCACATCCTGTGCCGCAGAAGGACCGCTGAAGAAAGTCTTCCCGGCACGGTCGTAAAGGGATTTCAGGTTGTCAATCCCTTCGTACATCTCAATAGAGATACGTACGCGCCACCACGGGCTATTAGGGAGGTAAGCCTCCTTAGGTGCTCGTGCAGAGTTGTTCACACAACATGGGCACGAGTCTCCCAAAGAGAGGCAGGGTAATCCTTTCTCCCTTGACAGACGATGCAGCTTGTAGCGTGCACCTGTCGGGGTTCGCTTTTCAAACTTATCACGAGCTTTGATAAGTTTGTCGTTCCAAGCGTCACGACCTACATCCTCAAGGTTATGGATGTAGGCGTTCCACGCCTGAAGTAGTGAGGGACCATCACGTTTGTGATTCCCACTGTACCATCGATGTCTAAAGAAAGCATCGATGAAGAATTCATGTTCAGCGCGATAGTTTTTCGCGCTGGGGTCAAGGTGATGGATCCTTGACGAATCGAACAATCGTGTTCGATAACGATCACTCGTCGTCGCCGACAAGTGATCCATGACGGATTTTGGAGGCATCCATGCCTTCTTCTCAGGAGCGAGACGCAAGACATTGCGGTCCCGCTCTTCCTGCGATGTGCCGACAGAAGTACTGGCACCTCGCTGTGAAGTGGTGTCCATAGGAGAACCGACACCACTATTAGCGCCCGAGTCTCGCGACCTCGAGCGCCTTCGCTTCGGCGATGGTTCATCTGATTCATCAGATGAACCAAAGATGCTACGACGCGTAGCATCATCCATGCCACGCTTGGCAGGCGGCTTGGATTCAATCGCCGTCGATACGGATCCGTCTTCCGTATCAGGAGAGTATGAGACACCGAGCTCATACTCTGTGAAGACATGAGTGTCTTCATGACCAGCGCCTGCATCACCAAGTGACACAGGCTGAGTCGCTTTAGCAACCGATGAGACATCAGTTGCTGTGGTTTCTGCTTCGGCGTCCGCACAGAGACGTGCGGACGCGCTCTCGGCGGCCTTGCTCGCGCATCGCATGGGCTTGTTAACCATGCGATGAAATGTTGGGAAGTGGACTCGGACCAACAAGTGCAAACCCTGTCCCAAATGATTTGGGACGAGTATCCATTTAGTCAATCAGTCACTAAAGTGACTGATGGTTAAGGGGGGTGATGTAACGGGGTGAATCGTTACATAACAATTTATAAGAAATTGTTAATAGAATATAACTATAAGAGTTATATTCTCAGAATATTGTCATAAGGACAAATATTCTGTAGCACTTACGAGTAGTTCCTAATTGGTTGATATATGCCATTATATCAACCAACGAAGACGCGCCACGACAGACGCACGCAATGAGTGGTGAGCAGATAACTGATTTACACATTTGTATTTAGACATAGTTAGATGAAGATAAATAGTGATTTATTGCAGATATTAACTATACTAAATACGGTTCTACTTTTTACTCTAACCGAGTACTCGCTTCTTCTTACCGTCTTCCTCTGCACGTACGAGTGTACGTGAAGTTACGAGGCACCGCCTTATTCTGTCATCAGAATAAGTAGCTTGTACTGTCACCAGTACAAGCTTCAGGGTGACCCGTTACACCTGGTAGCACTTCGTAGTCCGTCCAAGGACCACGTTCACATCCAACATGAATATGTTGGATGATGAAGATGACCAAAGCTTTCACGCTACGCGTGACGGCTACTCCCATTTGAGCGATGTCGAATGGGATGCGGTTGAACGAATGGGTTCGACCATGGGCATCCATGCTGTTAGCGTCATGCTAGAGGCTCTCAATAGAGATGCCCAACATGCTACTATCGCCAAGTTCATTCAAAATGAACTTGACGCAGAACGCGAGAAAGTAGCCTTGCTTCACCAACAAGGTTCTCAACAAGCAGAGTTGTTGAGAGAACAGGGTGCTCTACAGTTTGAACTGTTGAGACAGCAGCAGGCTGCTGCTGGTGGGTCGATGCACTCGCGTCGACCCGAAACCTTGAAGATTGACATCTCCAAGTATAGGGGGGTCGAAGAAGACTCCCTCTTGAGATGGTTCGTCGAATTGGATGACGCCATAAGGGCGCGTCGCATCGACGACGGGGATATGCAAGTTGCATTTGCCCAGTCAAATCTGGCAGGACGTGCCAAGACTTGGGCACTGGGGCTCAAGTTGCACGACCCATATGCGTTTGGGTCGTTGGAAGTCTTCAAGTCGCGGCTCAGACAAACGTTTGAACCGCCTAGAGCTGAGTTCAGAGCTCGAACCGAACTCTTGAAGCTCACGCAGGGTAAGCGTGATGTGCACGCTTACGCTCAACATATACGACATCTCACGAGTTGTATAAGTTCCAATCCGGTGGATGAACACACGTTGGTTTCGGTGTTCATGCAGGGTCTTGCGGATGGTCCCGTCAAGACTCACCTGTTCCGGCTTGAACTAGATTCACTAGAACAAGCCATTTCCATTGCGGAGTAGGAAGACTTCAGTCTGAGACAGGCTCGCGCCAGCTCGACATCATATCGTCAACCGAGACGATATGACAACGGAGGTCCAGAGCCGATGGAACTCTGATATGTAGAGAGCGAGAAGGCTCGCTCTACAGGCTACAAGAAGTTGCAGAGATGCAACAGATGTCAAAAGACAGGACACTACGCTTACGAGTGTAGTGCCCCTCGTCCAGTGTCTCGCGACACTGGGCGTAGTGACCGTCCACCCATGAGAAAGGGGCAGGGACGAGGGTCCGCTGTTGGTGCAAAGACGCAACAACGGGATGGACCGTCAAAAAACGGACAGGACCAGTAGGTGCGGAGCACCCTACTGGTCCAGCAACGTCAAGAGAATTTGTAGGCCTCTTGATGAAGGTTTCTCCCAACACACAAACGTTGTGCGTTGCTGCTCTAGGTAATGAGGTCTCACTCATTACCTTGAAACCCGAAGTGTCGAATAAGTTGTCCCTTCGAGCTCTAGTCGATTGTGGGGCGTCCAACAATTTTGTGCGACGCCAATCGCTAGAAGATGGTCACTTCAAGTTTGTTGAATGTGACACACCTCCTTCGAGGATGACGGTACGTCTTGCGACAGGCGCATCCGTAACCGTCATGAAGCGTATAGTGAAGATCCACTATACGCTAGAAGATACCCAATATGACGATGACTTTATCGTATTGGATTTGGATGACAAATTTGATGTCATCCTTGGAATACCGTGGCTCAGAAGGTACGAACCACGGGTAAACTGGCAACATCGAACAGTAACGATGCCTGCCGCTTGTTCATCAGATGGCCATCTGATGAACGTTTTGGAGCGTCCACAAGCGTGTGGATGTACTACGAGTGAGTGTGATGGCCTCACTTGTGGTACGGTCGTTAGTACGACTGCACAAAACCTTAGTGTACCAAACGGTTACACTTCGGAGCAAAGTTCCGGCGGCTGTGAGGAAACACAGGCTGCGCCGAAGGTCCACCACTCGAATAAGTCGAGTGGACCGGGACAAAGATGTATCCCTAGCGGGGAACATCTAGAAGAGAAACAATCGATCGCTCAGGTTAAGCGAAACGATAATCCTAGATCGATTGGAGAGTCTTTCGTAGAGGATCTCGCTGTGGTTACGCAACCCCAGCTAGAGGAAGTAAAGGGATTAAGTCCCAAGATTACAAATACGGCGGAAATAAGTTCCCCGAAACCCGCGGGAATAAGTCCCCGGGAAGCCGAAGGAATAAGTCCTTCGAAGCCTGAGGGAATAAGTCCCCAGGAAATGACAGAGACATTGAACGTCATAGTCAATAACGGATCAAGTGTAGGCGCTTATACACTTGATCTGATTGCGCCTCCGAAGTTAACTTCGTAGATCACTCAGTTGCCAACGCTCGAACATAAAAGGTTCTTGCGTGATCTGCGTAGTGGCAAAGTCAAGCAGATCTGCATACTCGTCGCTGACGACGAGTGTGTAACCGACATAAGGTCAGCAACAGTGTTTACGGAGAACGAGAGAGTTCTCAGTAGTTCATCTATGGACGAGAGTGTCCTAGATGAAAAGACACGAATTGAGCGATATGACTCCCAATCATGGGAAACGCTCAAGACAAATCCTCTCTATGAAGATTTGGTTGAATTCAAGGATGTATTCCCTGAAACTGTTCCGTGCGAATTACCGAAGGATAAAGGTATTCGACACGAGGTCGAGCTTAAACCAGGCTCGAAGTACTGTGTCATGAAGCAGTGGCCACTGCCTCGTGAACAAGTACTTGCGATCGACAAGTTCTTTGCCGATCGTTTAGCTGCGGGCCATGTGAGGGAATCAACTTCCCCACATAGCTCTCCGACCTTCTGTGTGCGAAAAGCAACAGGAGGGTGGCGGATAGTGCATGCATTTAACAAGTTGAATGCTGCAACGGTACCGGCTCAGACGCCGATACCGAGGAAGGACGTAATCATTGATGGTATGTCAAAGAGTACCATCTTTTCGTCCATGGATTTGATGGATGGCTTATATCAAATCCTTATGCGAGAACGGGATATACCCTATACCGCAGTTAGCACGCCCAGCGGCATGCTCTGGGAGTGGCTATTAATGCCACAAGGGCTCAGTAATGCCCCTGCCACGTTCAACAGATGTGTATCACATCTGTTGAGACCAGTACGAGAATTCGCGCCGAGTTATTTCGATGACGTATTCATCCATAGTCGAGCTGTGGATGGAAAGTCGGACGTTGAGGTTCACAGGTACCACGTCCGACAGGTTCTTACAATCATGCGAAAGCATCAATTGTATGCAAACCTCAAGAAGTGTATATTTGCAGCAAGCGAAATACCACTTCTTGGGTGCATCGTTGGTAAGAACGGTGTACGTCCTGATCCCGAAAAGATCAAGGCGATCACCGACTGGCCTGTGCCGGTTGATGTCAAAGGTCTTCGAAAATTCCTTGGGCTAGCGGCGTATTTGCATAAGTATTCACGCAATTACGCCGAGATGACTGTGCACCTCTCTCGTTTGTTGAAAAAGAACGAGAGGTGGTTATGGAACACTGAATGTCAGCGCTCCTTTGATGGTATCAAGCAGAGCTTGATACAATCCCCAGTCCTAGCAATAGCCGATCAGGACAGGCCATTTCATGTGGTCTGTGATGCCAGCGATTTCGCAATCGGCTGTGCATTGATGCAGTACGACCTAGAAGGCGTTGAACGCGTCGTCTGCTATCAGTCGCGTCAGCTGCAACCAGCTGAGCGGAACTATCCAGTGCATGACAAGGAACTCCTTGCCATGAAGTATGCACTCGCGAAGTTCAGAGTCTATCTATTAGGAGATAGACCCTTCATTGTTTACACTGACCATGCGTCATTACGCACGGCAGTGAACAGCCCGCACCTTTCACAACGAATGGCGCGGTGGTTGTCATTCTTTGCGGAATACAACTTTACGGTCGAGTACAAACCAGGAAGACTTAATGTCGTCGCTGATGCACTCTCACGTCGTCCCGACATTGAAACAGTCGCGAAACCCAACAGTGAGACAGTCACTGTTGCGGTTATGACGTCCTCAGTCCCATCTACAACGTTGTATGATGATGTGAGGCGGACATACGCCCAAGATGGTGAGATTGTGAAGTTTTTGACACATCTCTCCCAACCATCCCGAGAATCGTTGAAACGATTGTCGCCTGCGTATCGATCTGCGTCAGATCGATACACTGCTCGTAACGGTTTACTGTGTTATACAGCCGTTTCTGGTGACACACCACGTGTTGTCATTCCAGATGATACTGATCTGCGTTTGCGGATCATGTTCGAGTATCACGCTGGTCCTATAGGAGGACATCGTGGCCGAGAGAAAACATATCTCACGGTAAGTCGAGACTTTTACTGGCCCCGCCAGTATCAGTTTGTGCGAAAGTATGTTCGCGCATGCGAAGTCTGCCAACGAGTGAAGTCAAGTCCTTCACTGCGTGCACCTTTACAGCCTCTACCGGTTCCGGCTGAGTGCTGGGAATCCATCTCAATGGATTTTGTCTTCGGTTTACCCAAAGACGCACGCGGGAATACGGGTATTCTCGTATTTGTTGACAGATTCAGCAAAATGGTACACCTTGTGGCTGTACCAGAGACAATCACCGCAAGTGGCTGTGCTTGTGTCTTTATTGACACCATCTTCCGACTTCATGGGTTGCCCCGTGAACTCGTATCAGACAGAGATCCACGATTCACTGCTGATTTCTGGCGTTCCGTGTTCAAATCACTCGGAACGCGCTTGAAGATGTCGACATCTGATCATCCAGAGTCAGATGGTCAGACGGAACGGGCCAATCGTGTCCTTGAAGAGATACTTCGAGGATACGTACACTCCTTCAAGAGTTGGAGTGACTTTTTGCCAATGGTAGAGTTTGCCATCAACAACTCGGTGCACGCGTCCACGACACATACACCGTTTTACGTGAATGGCTTGCGCCATCCGCGTGTACCCACCTTACTAGAGTGTAACTCTGGTTTAAGGGGGGGAGGGACTCGCGCGAGCAAAAACCGATTTGGTTCACGCTCATCACGCTCTGACGAAGAAGTCATTGCGTTTGATGCCGATAATCGATAACATCGATATCGAAGAAGATGATGCCAGTGAGAGTGCGGAAGCCCTCACTGAAGTAGATGATCCCAGTGAGAGTGCGGAAGCCCTCACTGAAGAACAGGTTGATGTTGCTGCAGTGCGCTCACAGCGCACTGAAGCTAACGAGTCATCAGATGAGTTCATACTGGCTCGTGAAACGGTAGTCCGTTTTGTGCAAGACTCCATCGCCGAAGCGGTGGATAAGCAACAGCAAAACGCTGACAAGAATGGAAGGGCAAACACTCTTTTATTTAATAAAGGTGACTTAGTCCTACTGTCTACGGTTAATCTACCAAAGCATGTAGTGACTAACTTGGGTAGCAGTAAACTACTACCCAAGTACATCGGCCCATTTCGTGTATTGCACCGCCTAGGCAATGCATACACGATCGAGTTACCACGTAAGATGCGAACGCATCCCACGTTTTACGTTGGTCGGCTTAAGCCGTACCATCAGTACGCTGCTTCTTCCGATGAAGAATGCCCTTGCGCTCAAGCATCTCGCAGAGAGCCTTGTGCTCCCGATGGTGGGCATCAACAAGGGTCTGAAGAGCAGTTATCTCATCCCGAGACCGATCAATATCCACACGAGCTACCCTTAGCTCGTCACGAAGAGATGTCAGAGATCTCTCGTTCTCAAGCTGAGCAAAGGCAAACTCAGCTCGATGCTTCGAGGCAGTGTCTGCCATTTGGAGACGCCTATTCCGCTCATGTTCGAGATCGTCGCGTAACCCTTGCGTTACGCGATCAAAGAAGCTCTCGGGAACACACCGATCCACATGATCGTGTGGAGAGCGTCTTTCCTCCTCATCCACCTCCATTAGAGGACTCTCGCGGTGGCCAGCGCTATCTAGTTGAGCAGCTGTTGAACCACCGCGA